AGGTTTTAAAACAAAACAAGTCTTCCAAGTGGCCTGTGGGCGCCAGGCCCTCCAAGCAGACAGTGTTGTACCCCTGGGCTTATTTCAGAGCGTCTGCCCCCGGAAGAGCCGTGCGCCCAGGCAGATCTCGAGCTCGGGGCTTTCAAGGTCAACGCCAAGTTCGGCGTTAGCCCGGGGACAGGTAAAATTAGCCAACCCCAAGTCCCAGTTCCTTCTTTCCAGTCTCCCATTCTCAGCCAGGCTTGGACCTTCTCCGGAGCAGCTTCCGCACCGCGATCACAAACCCCTCGGCGCGCCTGAGCCCAAAAAGCCCTGCCAGCCCCCGGCGCTCCCCCCGCATTTTCACACTCGGATACCGACGGTGGGGGCGGGGACGGGACTTGCTCAAGGCCTCGCCGTTCAGGGTGGAGCCGGGATGAGAGCTCCCAACTTGCAGTGGGGCCACAAGCCCACGCAAAAGGAAGGCCAAGCTGACCCCTCCTCTACCGCACTCAGATGCCCGCAGGGCGCTGCCGTGCCAGAGGGGAGGGAATGACTGACTGTCTGTCTGACTGCTCCAGAAACAGCAGATAACCTGCTTGGCTTAGCTTTCTGATTTCCTTTCCAGCCTCCGAATGTCTCTGGTACGGGAAAGGTGGAACAGCCTGGCTCCAAATCTGCCACCGGCGGCGCCACAAAGGCCAGGCCCATCTTGAACAGCTCTAGAAAGCTGCCAGTCTCGCCCGGGGCCAATCCCACAGCACTCCCTCAGGCAACGGGCATACACAAACGAGGAACACCACACCGGGCCCACGCAGCTCTTGGCTGAAAAGAGCCGCACCCCTGTGGAGCCGCACGGGCTGTTAAACCGCCACGACAGGGCCGGCCCACAACATTTTTGGCACCTGAGGCGGGGAGCTCAAAGGACGCCCCCCGGCCCCCTCGCTGCACCAGCAGCAGACACAATTTTCTACACTCTGGGTCCTAGTGGCTCCCTCCCCCCCCCCCAAGTCTGGCACCTGAGGCGGCCGCCTCTGTTCGCCTCATGGTAAGGCCGGCCCTGCACCACGAGCAGTGGTCATCGGCAATATTTTGCTGCCATGCCACCCTACAAAGCTTGGGCAGAGCCTGGGCGGGGGTCGGGGGGTGCTGGTGCCACCGCAGGCACTGAGCCTCCTCGGGCGCTCAGGCAACACGTGGACACTGGAGGAGGTGCTTGTCCACGGGGGTGGCTGCAGTGTTCGGTTGCTGGGGCACTCCCCTGGGCAGCTCTCCCGCTCCCGCCTGGCTGGGGCACGGAGGCCTCGAACTCCTGGCCGATGAGCGCCCGACCCACCTTCCTTCGATGGGCTCTCGCTGAAGGGCTGGGGTCGGGGAGACGGGTTTGTCAGAACAGCCGCCAGCAAGAGGCGGGGACCCTTCTCTGAGGCCACCCGAAAACCTGCTGTGTGAAGCCCTTGGGACGCCCTCCAACGCAGAGCAGAGCACCACGTCCTGTGGGAGACAGAACTGACCTCCTGAGGCTCGCTGAGCTTCGCGGGCCAAGACAGGTCTTCCTTGGAGAGGCCTTCCTTGCCGGCCTTCTTGCGCCTAGCGGCCACGAGTCCTAGGTCCACCGCAGCATCTACAGGAAAGAAGGCTAGAGCAATCTCGCCCGCCGTCAGGGGCTCTGGCTACCTGGGAGCTTCCCCAGCGCCCGCCTAGGGAAGAAATCGGCCCCAGCTCTAACGTTCTTGACCTTCTCAGACCTCACTGCTGCAGGCCTGTGAACCCCCAGCATTAAAACCCGTAAGCTGGTGGTCCCCAAATCAGGAGGCTGCCTCAAAAATGGCAACAGGCTTTATTCTGCACGCGATCGGCACTGGGCCGGGCGGAGGGCAGTTAACTCGAACAGTCAGCGCGTTTCGGCCGCGGCCTTTCCCCCCGCTACCCTGGATGTCAGAATCATTCACCCCACTTTACGCACAAGGGAACCGAGGCACAGAAGGGAGGCGAGTCCGTTGGCAGAGTCTGGAGTCGAACGCCGGTCTCTTGCGACCTTGTCCAGCACTCAGACCCCTTGACTGCACTGCTTCCTCTCCCCTGCCCCCCGGGCTAGAAACGTTCTCCTCTCTCTTTGGAGTCTGACCTAATCACCTCGCTCCACGAGCCGGGGGAATCTAGCCACCATGACAAGACTCTGAGAGAGTCGGGAGCGTGGGCAGCTGATGTTCAAAAGTGTTTCTTTAGGTAAACGTGTCACTGCTGAAAAATGCAGCAGTTGCCTGTTTACACGGAGCTGGTGCGTGCAGGGCAGGCGGCTTCTAAGATGGCCGCCCATGTGTACGGGCTCCTGAGGAGCCACCTGCCCCCCCACACTGCTGCCTCGGGGGGCCTGCGTGTAACCGTGACGGTTGGCCGACGAGTCCAGGCAACGCTCCTTCTGTGCGTACTGGGGAGCTGGCAGCCTCTGGGCAAGGCGGGGAGGGGGACAGCTCCGTGCTCCCAGGAGGGGCAGGGCCTCGGGCTGCCTGGAGCCTTTCGAGGTGGCGGGAGCAGCCGGCACCACGCTCCGGCGGCCATTCCAAGGGCCCAGGGCTCCATCGGCTGCAGTAGCAGCAATGGCAACCAGGAGCCTCGGGCCCTTTTGAATTGCCGGGCCCCAGAGCAACAGCCCCCCCCCCTTGGGCCTGTGTGCCTATTCGTTCATCCGCCATGTTGTTTGCTGGGTCACGTGACCCTGGAGGGCAAAACCTGGCCCATGGCTGCAGGCAATACCCAGCTTGCCACAGAAGCACGAGCGGCCACGTTTAGCGCCACTGCAATGCGCTCCACGGCTCAGAACCCACCGGGGGGAGGGGAGAGGCATTCTTCACTTGCGCAGCCCCCATGAAATGCATCCAGTGCGCCCAACAACAGCGGCAAATCTGCCACCTTGCTCTTGCAAGGCCCACCTGGGACTCGGGATGTTAAATAGCGATTCATTTACTAGTCAAGTAGTCGATGGAATTTCCATCAACTACTCGACTATTCGATAAGCACTTCCGTGTTCTGCCTTTGAAATGTACAGGAACCCCAGCGCGGGCTCTTGTGCATTTCAAAGCGGAAGCGCCCGCATGGAGCCTGGGATGAGCAGGGGACTCAGAGTCCTGCGCTCGCCCCAGGCTCCACGCTGCGCTTCCTCTTTGAAATGCACCAGAGCCTCCACTGGGGACTCTTGTACATGCCAACGCAGGCATGCCGCCCGAGGTCCGGGCTCCAAGTGGTGCTGCCGCTTCGAAATGCCGCGCAGAGCCTGGGATCAGCAGGGGACTCCCCGGCTGACTCTGGGCTCCGTGCGGCACTGCTGCTTTTACGTACCCCCTTCTTCTCCTCCCCTTCCCCCCACTGCTGATAGAGGCAGCAAGCGGGAGGAGAGTGACTAGCTGACTATCCTGTCGACTAGTCCTTTACATCCTATCTTGGAGCCAGGCAGCTCCCTCCCCAATCAATGGCAAAGCTGCCTTGGTCTCCCCTGGGGGCCTGGCACGGAGCAGAGCCCCGTTACAGAAGCCAGCCCCTTCGGGGCCCCGCCCCGCCCTGCGCCAGCGCTGTCTCTACGGGTTGGCTGCGCGAAGCGGGGCCCAGCCCAGGCTGCAAGCACAGCAAGAGACCGACCTTGTGTCTTGGGCTCCCGTTGGCTCCCGTTGGCTGCCAGAGCTGGGGGAGAAGCTTCGTCCTCCGCAGGGTCACTGCCGCCTCCGTTGACAAAGACCAGCTCTGCCTTGCCGTCTGCTTCTCCGTCGCCATGGCGCTGGTCTCTTTTCATGCTAGCCTGCGGACGGAACAGCGGGAGACATTTAGCCACCTGCTACACGCAGCCAAATAAAGCCCGAGAAAGGCAAACGGGGTGGCGTAACCTACTCAGCGCAGCCACCACTGAACGTCGGCCCAGCGGCTTTGCGAGGGCCTGGTCCCGATGCCCATGGAAGTGACTGGCTAGATGCCACTGACTTCACAGAACCCCGGGGCGGGCAGAGACCTCAGGCGTCACCGGGTCCAGCCCCAGCCCAAGGCAGGACCAACCCAACTCAATCAACCCAGCCAGGGCTTGGTCAAGCCGGGACTTAAACACCCCTAGGGATGGAGATTCCACCCCCTCCCTCGGGAACCCAGCCCAGCGCTTCCCCACCGGCCTAGGGAAATCGTTTTCCCTAATCTCCAACCTAGACCTTCCCCACTGCAACTTGCGACCATTGCTCCTTGTTCCGTCACTACTGAGAACAGCCTCTCGCCAGCCTCTTTGGAACCTCCGGCAGGTAGCTGCAGGCTGCCACCAAATCCCCCCCACTCTTCTGCAGACGACATGAATGAAGGGCTTGAATGAATGCCACATCGGTTGCTGTCGGTACCCAATGCTGACGCCCATGGGTGCTCCCTTTCCCCTCGGCGGACTAGGCTTGAGATTCGGGAGCCAGGGGAAGCTTCTGCTCTTTGTCACTGGGTAGACCTGAGAGCAGCGCAGCTGGGAGCAGAGCGAACCCTGTTTCACGTCCCATCCGCAACCCAGAAACACATCGTGCCTCTTTCCTGCATCTCTCCCAGGAACCCCAGGGGCGGCCACGGGTCCCAAGCGGCGTGGGTGCAGGGGCCCAGTGGCACTGCTAGTTTAATTGGGCAGGGGCCTTACTCCTGGGCGCGTCATTATTAATGGAAAAGGGTCTCTCGTCAGCCACCCCACGTGAACCGTCTGACCGAGTCCAGAGCCACGGGCCCACCTCACGAACGGTTTAACGGGGCGTACAGCCACCAGATGGCGTCACCTCTGCAAAGCGAAGAACGGCCAATGGCGGGCCCGATCCTGCTGCTCTTGAAGCAGCTGCTGTTCAATTCAGGATCTGCCCCATTCGGGATGAATAAAGCACATCCGCTTGAGGGGTGAGAAATGTGTCCTCGATGCCTCACTAGAAGCAGTAGGGTGAATTTCTGCCTCCTCGGTCTAACTTCCCCTTGTCCCACCAAAAGCAGCACCTCTTCCCAATCCACAAAGCAGGACACAGCTACTGGGTTTCTAAAGGACACAAGGTTTCAGGGTTGGGACGGATCCTGCTCCCAAGCACAAAATAACTATTAGGTTACTGGGCCTAATAGCTTATTCATTATCAAGCACCCAGCTCTTCTCCCATTGCATCCCAACCCAGGGGCTGCCGTTCCAAAGGGTTTTGCAGATTTCAGGAACTAATAAAACACCAGGGCTACGTCTAGACTGGCATGATTTTCCACAAATGCTTTTAATGGAAAAGTTTTCCGTTAAAAGCATTTGCGGAACAGAGCGTCTAGATTGGCATGGACGCTTTTCCGCAAAAGCACTTTCTGCGTAAAAGCGTCCGTGCCGATCTAGACGCGCTTTTGCACAAAAAAAGCCCCGATCGCCATTTTCGCAATTGGGGCTTTTTTGCGCAAAACAAATCTCAGCTGTCTACACTGGCCCTTTTGCGCAAAAGCTTTTGTGCAAAAGGACTTTTGCCCAAACGGGAGCAGCACAGTATTTCCGCAAGAAGCACTGATTTCTTACATGAGATCGGCAGTGTTCTTGCGGAAATTCAAGTGGCCAGTGTAGACAGCTGGCAAGTTTTTCCACAAAAGCAGCTGCTTTTGAGGAAAAACTTGCCAGTCTAGACACAGCCCACCAGCACATGGATAAAATTGAAAAAGAAAAAAACGACCAAAATATCTTCTTTACAGACCTAGCCAGTGAATTCACCAGGATTACGGTGGCATCGCCGAAGGCTCATTCGGACCCCATCACCCTTTTAGAAACCAATTATCGCTTTGGGCAAGTTGGTGATTTCTGTCTGGGAGAGTCGATTCCCCACACAATTTAATTCTCCGCACCTCCGCAGACATCCCAAGATACCCAGGGCCTCAAGTCCCTACGCAGGGTGCAGGCCACTAAGCTACAGTGATTTTTCAAATGGCAATTGGTTGTCAGAGTCTTCCTTTGTGTCTAAAGGCAGAGCCCTGCATTTCCAAACAGCTCCCCACGAGGGGGCATGCTTCCCCTGGAGCACACACATGCACGGGAACAAAGAGAGGCCCACGAAGAATTCTGGGGAGGGCCCCGATCCCTGCCTGGAGCCCGATCCCATGCCACTGAGGCAGAAGCAGGGGGCGTTCTCCTGCCAGCCCAGCCAGAGGCCCCGGCAGCACCCTGGTGCACACAGCAGGGTCTGCTCTGCTCAGCACTCAGCAGCGCGCATTGAGTCAACCAGAACGCCTCCTCATGGTCACAGACTTGCATCCTTCAGCTCGCCCTTGGGCCTCAGCAGGGGGGATGTCTGCTGGGATGTGCCATCCTGAACCAACACACAAAAAGACAGGCTGGGGAGGCAGGGGGGTTCTCTCTCTGACAATGTTCCTTAAAGTTTGTTGCCTAAGCCTGCCCGGCAATTCCCATGCAAGGAGAGGCATTGCACCTCACAGACTCAGAGACTTTAAGGTCAGAAGGGACCATTATGATCATCTAGTCTGACCCCCTGCACAGTGCAGGCCACAGAATCTCACCCACCCCTCCTAGAATAATCCTCAGCCCGGGCGACTCCTGCCCTCCGCCGGGTGCCCTTCCTTGGCTTGTTTCAGGGAACGGAAGCTCCCAGGCTGGCTGAGAAGCAGTCCAGGCCAAAGCCGCTTCCCCTGGACCAAGGAAGGAAGCCGCCTTGCTGTTGTGTAGCAGCCACAACGCAGCCCACGTGCTTCCCCACTGTAAACAGAGATGTAAAATCCCCTTTCACCGACGTGCCGAAGCACCTGCTGTTCCCACCAACTCAGAACTGGAGGCCCCTAATCACACAAACGCCCACGGACGTCCCTGGCATCCGGACCTAGCAGGCCCTAAGCTAGGAGCAGAGAGGTTCTGCGCCAACTGGGCCAGGCCACTCACGCCCTGCCCAGGTACAAGCTCAGTGCCCAGGATCAGAGCCCAATCAGGGGAATTTGGACTTTTGTTTGCCGGACTCTCTCAGCTTGGCCACAGACCCCTGTGGGTCGTCAGACAGGACACAAACAGTAGGAGGGGTTCTGCTTTCACCTCACCCAAGAAGCAAAATGGAGCCGTCTGGAAACTTGGGAGCTACAGACACACCCCCTCCCCACAAAGGCAGGAAAAGGTCAGGTTCTCCCGAGCAGCTCCAGGGTCCCTCACAGGAGTTCTGGTTACTACTAAGTATTAGGAGTTTATTGCTAGAGACAGGCAAGAACCTGAACTCGACCCAAACATCTTGATACCCGCCTCTACGTCCACATCCACATTTTCCAAAGTGACCTCTACCTCTGTCAGAGGGCTACCCCCCAATGCCGGCTCTGAACGGCCCTGACCTCCAGATGTCCAAATATCTGCAGCAGGGTTTTGCAGCCTAATCGGGACAGATCAGTACACAAATGTTCAAAGTCTGTAGTGGGCAGGAAGGACTTATTCCTGCTCCCATGCCTACAGAGGGCTTCTCCTCACAGCCAGCAAAGCTGCGTTTTGATCTTCCTACAGTGCATAGGCTACCCCAAGGGAGAACACGGAGAAGACCAGGCACTTGCATTTAACCAAGGCAGGTACATATAGGGCTGGCCTCAGTGAGCAGTAAATCAAAATAAAGTCCCCACTGTGTTTTCACCTCTGGCTAGATCATCTGAGGTTTAAAAAAAAAAATAGCTTCTCAGCAGTGAAATTAGGCCCTGACCTTTACAATGCAGCAGTCTACAGCAACAGCCCCCCCAATGAAAGAGCTGGATTCTGTAATCCTTATTCCGACCAAGGTGCATTCTGGGCTGGTGCTGTACAAGGCCTCGGTATTTTTAAGAGGGCTGCGATTTCTCATGAGCATCCTAAGTCCATCTCCACCAGCTCTCTAAGGGGAGCTAACCCACCACAGCTACCTGGCCCACATGACTTTCAGAAAGGACTCTCCTTCACAGTGAGCCTTCGAGCTCAGGAACTCAGATATTCCCTTGGGCTGTGTCTACACTGGGCCACTTATTCCGGAAAATCAGCTGCTTTTCTGGAATAAGCTGCAAGCTGTCTACACTGGCCTTTGAATTTCTGGAAAAGCAACGACGTTGAACTGTACAAAATCAGCCGCTTTTCCGGAAAAGCTACGCTGCTCCCGCTCGGGCATAAGTCCTTATTCCGGAACACTGTTCCAGAAAAGGGCCAGTGTAGACAGCCCAGTAGTCTTTTCCGGAAAAAAGCCCCGATCGCGGAAATGATGATCGGGGCTCTTTTCCGGAAAAGCGCGTCTACATTGGCCACGGACGCTTTTCCGGAAAAGCATCCTGCCAATGTAGACGCTCTTTTTCCGGAAATACTTATAACGAAAACTATTCTGTTTTAAGCATTTCCGGAAATTCATGCCAGTGTAGACACAGCCTTGGGGTCTTTCAGAATTTCATTGACAAGAACTTTTTTTGTTTGAAAGGAAGCGTTCTCCGACAGAGCCGGCGTCCCACCACCTGGGCTGGCATGAAGAGGTGCATATTTGCAGGGGCATGCTTCTGGGACATCCTCACACTGAGTTTTTAAAGATTTCATTCCACCCTTCAGGATGATTGGAAGAGGGTAGTAACCAACCGGTTCAAATGTGCAAAGCAAATTAAATGACAAAGACCTGGCCGGGGGGGGGGAGGAGGAGAGCCACCAATTTTGGGACTGCCAGCTCTGGCTTATGGTAGTCCATTACACCTAGGAAGGGAGGAAAAAGCTTTGATTCCAAACAGGATCTGCACCAGCCCCTGCACCAACCCGGCTGATTATCACCACAGGGGGCTTTTAACACCCTCTCCCAGTGT